GGATGGACGGACAGATGGATGGAGGGATGGATGGATGGATCGATGGATGGATGGATGGATGGATGGATGGATGGATGGATGAGTGATTAGAAACTAACCTAAAGGCTGTTTCTCACAGACTGCCTGGACCCAGGATTTCATCAGCTGATTGAGAATCCTCTGCTCGTGGAGAGGAAACACCTGCTGAATCACACCTCTAGCTTTCAGCTCCGGTACTGCAGGGACGGATAGAAACGGTTTAAGTCATCAACAATAACAAAAGAAAGTCATCCATAAACATAACAATCAAAAAATATAATCAAATAACCATATGTCTCATATGTCTAACCCAGTAATAGCTTCAGCTTACTGATTGGCTGGCCTTCCAGGAAGTTGATATTATGAAGAACCTCGCCCTGTTTGGCACGTAGATTATCCAACCAGTATTTGATGATGCTTTGTCTCTCCTGCGATAAGAGAAAAATATCTATGAGGACACTTACTACCTTTAAATGTGTCTAAGATATGGGGGTGTATGTATTTGAGAGTGTGGGAGAGAGACCTGTGAAGTGAAGAAGCACAGCTCGCTCTCAATGTTCTCGTAGATGTAGTCCTCTTCGCAGGAGAAGCTCCGCGCTCCTCCACCAAACTCAGGTTTCACCCCCTTCCTCAGTCCCATCTCCTCTGCACCTCGCAGTAAACTGCAACATGGGGAACACAAAATGATTCCCTAGCCTTGTTTCAGATCCGTGGTGCAGACATTTTCATCTCAATCTGCTCTGGTTAGGTTTCCTTTTGTTGCTAATTGCCTGCATGTCCCAGAACTCACACATTTTAATGACCCCCATGCTGTTGCATTCTGCTCAACAAGACATGTAGGCGGAGGGAGCAGTGCTACGAGTGATCTCATAGTAACAGCAAAGTAGGAATTTATTTCTTTCCTCTGAGAAAAAATAAGCAATTATTTCAGTTTGACTTTATCCATGAAACATTTTTTTAAATGGTTTGTTTTTGTAGACATTTCACCAATGCCGCCAAATAACACCCAGAATAAAGATAGACTATTTCAGAGAGGTCTCCTGGCCTGCATAAAGAATGCAATGGAGTCAACATTTGAGTGATAGTTGTTAAGAGATGCACACGTGCAAAACTTCTGAGGTTGGTATTTTGCTAATATGTTGGTGCAAGTCCTGATGCCAATTCCTTAAGACTGAAACTTATGGTTTATGTGCATAAACACCACTCATTTACAGCGAAGCTCCCAATTAGGAAAACATCTTGCAGTTCAGATATTAAACTAACAGGGAAAGAATTTTAAAAGAATGATGAAAAAGTCTTAAAAAAACGAATAGTACAGTAGCATCAGGTATAGCTTGACACTAAAGTTAGGCCTTTTCAAAGTGTTGACTTCAGTCATGTTAAAGTCATGGTCGCCTTTTCACCTCCAAATGGAAGACGGCTTTAAAAAAAGTATAGGCAGACGAGTGACACGACTAGCGCAGCGAGTAACTGCAGCCATCGTTCAAACCAACACGGTAGCGCAAAAACGCTTTTGTACTGGTGATGCTGTAATGCTGTTTACTAAGTGATGGTTTACTACAAGACCACTGTGCTCATTTTATGACAGCAACAAGCACCATGTCAAATGATGAAGAAAGTTTTTGATACAACTACTACTATTACTATTGAAGGAACTGCAACTTCCTGTATCAATCAGTGTCACATCTGTAGAACTGCCTGGGAAACTTGGCCCCTGAATGGCAGAATATTAGGCCGCACACAGACTATTCAAGGCAATAGAGATATACATGGTTGAGCTTGTTGGTTTTGGTTTTAATGCTTCATTATGCATGTATATTCTTTCACATTTCCTGCCCCTAATTCCTTTAACTGTTGCAGAATGTAAACCTGGGTTTTCGATTTTTCAGAGGGGAAAAAGTCACAAGATTTAAAATGATAGACTTTCAAATTGAAACTAGAATTTTTTTTTACCACTATCAGTTGAATTTTCCTATAAAGATTGGATGCTTTTGTCCCATCAGAATAGCCAGTGCTCCATTAAATGAGTTGATACTGCTTCAATATGCTCCTCCATGCAAGGCTGTTCTGGCAGACTTTCTGTGTTGCGTTGTTGCAGTCTTTCTCTGCTGTTAAGAGAAGGCTTTCGCTGCTATGATCAAATTTGAGGGAAGGCTTTGCATATCTATTTTCACTTTTTTTTTTTTTATCCTTACATTTAACCACTTCAATTCCTCAATCAGAGACAGAGAAAAAAGGGACAAACAGAAATGAAAAGTAATGTATTTTCTACATCCCTTCCTTTAAGCCCAAAGCCACTTCTTGTCCTCCATTTGTGAACACCATATTACTCCTCTCTGTCAAATTCCAAAACTTCTATCAGAGTTCTGGCCTCCCCATACTGCTTTCATCCCATCTTTATGTCCTTCCTAGGGGCCTTATGCTGAATTTGCACTGCTAATACATCACAACTCTGCCTATTCTCCCTGAGGACTGTTAGCTTCCCTTGTTCTCCTCTGCACATGTATCTTTATTTATGCAAGCATATGGGGGTACAGCTTAGGGGGGTTGTAACATCCATCTATCTTGCAACTGCATGTAGTTGCAGGGGTGGAACAATAAAGCACAGACAGCACAGTGATGAATGACAATAGAAACATTAGGTGTAAGCTGCCAAATCCCTGCAGTATGTTGTGAAGTGAGCATAACCATCGCAATAAAAAGGCTGTATCAACTTAAACTAAATGTTTAGTACAGTTTAAGCCTCATTTAGACAACTGCAGTGCCAACTGACAGCAAGAAACTAAATTAGATACTCCCATTTCGTTTCATCAGTTTTACTCTCAGCACTCTGGTATAGACAGCCCTGGTTTTAGTTAAGGCAAATTATGGACAAAGGTAAGCTTGTGAAGGAGCTTAACACAGCTGAGGAAGGTCGCTGCTCCTAAAGCTTATGTTAATTTAGCAAATGCCTATCAGACATAAAATGTGTGATAATAAATCTCAGCAGAACTGGGCAGCATGCTGTAAAGTGCACAGTCAGAGCCAAGGCATGAGCAATAAGTGCTGTGTCAGAGAAGCTCATATTATATTTCTGCAAGGGAAACTCACTCAGGAGGAAGAATTTAGTTTTTGCTGGATTTCCTTTACTGGTTACCGGTGACTTTGTAAAATTTCAATGCAAATAAAAACCTTGAAGCAATTTTACCAGCCGTTTAAGTCATTATCCTGTTGTACAGATGTACGCCTTTATGTCTGTCTGTCCATCCATCCATCCATCCATCCATCCATCCATCCATCCATCCATCCATCCATCCATCCATCCATCCATCCATCCATCCATCCNTCCATCCATCCATCCATCCATCCATCCATCCATCCATCCATCCATCCATCCATCCATCCATCCATCCATCCATCCATCCATCCATCAAATCTGATCATAGGTACAGAAAACTTGCATTGTAGTTCTACTCAATAGAAACATGTTAAAACATATGAGTTTTAAGACTTTTTATATTGTCATAATTTCCCCGTTCATACTAATTAGATATTATTCAGATTATATAGAGCTTTCCTGTGGAAACCTCATTAATATCAGGGAAGAACAAGCTGGGTTCAAACATCTGAACTAATTTAGCATCTTAAAACAAAACTAAATGACTCAAATCATTAGGCGGTGGAGGCCTAGCAGATTTTTGCTACAGTCAGGCATCTGCAAAATGAGTAAAGAACCAACACTGAATCATTTCTTGCAAATAAAGAAATGTTTAAGTCCTCTGAGTTGTTTATAAGCCGAAAAGCATAACAGCTCTGCTACTGATTAATAATTCATGAAAAAAGATTTTATATTTTTTTATATAGATTTTATAAAATACATTCTTACACTAAAGAATCCCAATCTTTGGACTTTGACTAAAGCTTTTCTTACTTTTCAAAAGTAGCAGTAATGAAGAAAGCATAGACTCTGGTGTGCTTATGATGCCGGATTTGGATGATGAGCTCTGGGATTCCAAGCCGGATGTGGTTTAGTAGCCATAGCAACGTGTGGTCATCTGTAGTGTCTGAAGCAAAAAAGAGAAACAAGCAAGATCAGCATTATACTCTCACAGTGGTTTTCCTTTTCTCCTGAATAACATCTATTAGCTATGAAATACACACCTTACTTGGCTACTTCTGCTAAAAAAATCTATGTAAAAACCACAGACATGTAACCAATCAGTCTTTATGCTTTTCCCCTCTGTCTAAGTCAGTTTCTATTGCTTAAACAATCAAATCAGATTGCATTTCATTTTATGGGACAGTAGTCATTGTTAGAGAAACAACATACATTTTCAACTTTTAAATGACTTTTTTTGGAAAACAAAATTGCTTCTGTTTAATTTCAGCAGTCCAATATTTGTGGCATACATACAAATATGGAACATATTTGAATAAATATTGACAAATATTAAAGTTTTTTTTAAAGTTTTTTTTTCAACAAAAAAGATTTACTAAATAAAAGCTAGACTTGTTTCTAAAAGGATTTTGGACACCACTGCATATTTTCATTTTTGGCCAATCTTTTTGTATGAAAACTGTGAAATTTTTTCTTTCAATTGATATAGTCCAGAATCAGCAAGTCAGATCTTAATTAAACTAGAAATGATATCCAGTTTTGAAAAGCAGATCTCCTCCCTCGTCATGTTCTTTAAAAGCTGTCTTATTTGTTGGGTCTTTTAAAAGTTCAAACTTCTTAACAAGTGATTTCTGTTTGGGTGTTTTTAAGAACCTGACCTGCAAATGTCATGAGGACATCACAGTTCTCCGTGGGCACTGTTTTCATCCAAGACTTATGAGACAGGATGTGTCTCCCAGCCTGCAGAAGCCGCTTCCCAAACAACTTATCTGGAAGACAAAGAGAGACACCATTTTAAAGTCAACATGTGTAAAGATCACTGACATTTGGAACATTTTTTAAAACCCTTTAAAATCCTCCCAGTACACAACGACAAAGAGACACATGAATACAAATAAAACTGTCTTTTTCATCAGGACACATTTAAATGTCACGCTGCTTTGCTTCACAACACGACCCTGACAGAAATAACCCTGGTCTGCCAAGACCACAGGCTCTAAATTGTCTGCACTGTTTGAATTGTTGCACACAGACACACATATTCACCAACACACACATATTATGTCTATTCTTACAAAGACTTTGCCTAAACTCAACTCATACCGTCATAAACCTAATGCATAAATAGGGACTTTTTCGTATGAGGATAGCATAGATGGCAGGTAGAGGAACACAGGCCTCACACTATAACAAATGTTAGAAAACACACGGACAAAAGTCTTAATTTCTACCAATTTTAGCACTTTTTAATGATATTTGCTTATTTCAATAATTACATTTATGCCTAACAGTAACCATTACCAGTATATTCGTAGTCTTAAACTTGACCACCTAATAATAATTTACACCATATGACCTTATCTCTATCTAAAACTATAATTGAAAAAAAGGCCCAAAATTGGCAGGATCATCCAGTATGCACACACAAACCCAGGAAAGGAGATTTCACTCTATTAAAGTGGCAAACTTATAGAGATGTGTTAAGAAAACGAATTAGAATTATTAACAAGAGATGAGATTTAGTGTTTATGGTCTAATTTTAACTATAAGCTAGCTAGATGTGTAAATGTAAATAGGAATGACTGATTTGACATGATTTTAATATCTGCAAATGTGACTTGTATTTCCGTTAATTCCCATTTACTCTGAAACCCCAAAGTAAAAAGTTCTTAGATTTAGCTGTCATGATCTTGGCACAAATGACTGGCCTGATTATTAATTTAATTCAACTGCCAAGCTCCGCCCAGTTCTTATTACAGTTAATCTGATCCACCTGCTTCAGCCTCTCTTTAACCAGCCTTCAAACAGTTATCAGTGCCAGATTATTCGAGCCTTTGGTGAGAGCTCTATAGCATACCTGTATATGCTATAGAGTGTTTGTGATTGCCTAAACCTGACCGGTTCTGCCTCTGGACCTATGAGCCTTCCTGTCCCTGTTCTGATATGTTCGCCTGATCTTTTCCCGGACTCCTGCTGGATTCTGCCTGTTGACTGAACCTGGAACTGCTTCCTAACACTGTCCTGGATTTCCTTTAGGTACATCTTCTGATCTCTGATCTCCTGGCCCTGACTCCTGAGCTGGTTCTCGACACCAGCTTTGGCTTCACCCTCTGGATAATCCTGCCTCCCTTCATCTGCTCGGTTCTGATCTCCTGCCTGTTCTCAGACTTCCAGGATCTCACCATCTGGGACTCTCTGGGCGGCACCCGCAGCATCCTGTTGGCAGCCAACTGGCTGGAACCAACCTCATCCTCTGGGCACTGACTGAACTTTAAGACCAGGTTAGTGACTCACACGTTCATTATTCTCCACCAGATAGATGTTGTCACTAACCTGTGTTCTCCCCCTGCAGAGGGTACTATCTTAGATGCTGATGCCGTTCTCTACAGTTCCGTCTAAAATAAAAATTTTGTGAAACCGAACTTCTCTCTGCCTCCAAAACTGGGTCCTCTTGTTCGGAGCCTGACAGCAGCCCTATTAGCGATTATTTTACTATAAAATTAGCTGCTCTGTGAAGGCACCAAATTTTTTTAGAGAAAAAATAGCGCCATAGAGACCAAGGAACACAGAAGATAGATCATGGAGGATGTTATGGAGATATATGAGCAGATTTGAGTCTCCAACAGAGAGCTACTCAATCCATCATCTAGAAATGCAGCAAGTGTGACAACAGTGCAAACATTGACTTGACCATTTTCCTGAACTGACAGGACAGACAAATGCAGCAATAACTAGAGAATAAGCCAGAAGGCCCAAGGGTTCTCTGTAGGAACTGCAGGGAGCTGCAAGGAAAATCTTAAGGTTTGCCATAAGTCATAGTGGGTAGACAGCAGGTTTTCCGGTCACACGTAACAAATACTAAAACTCCTGGTCTCAATAGAAAACCTAATGTTTAGCAGAGAAATGCGTCTGCATATCCCCACAAACCCATCATCACTATATCAAAGTGCGGTGTGGTGAGGGTGGGATTATTCTATTTCCTCAGAGGAGGCAGGGAAGCTGGTCAGATGTAAGGTCTTGAATACAGAGCCATCCTTTTAAAGACTCAGATGCAGTTTATCTTCCAGCAAGACAACTGTCCTGAAAAAACAGCCAGAGCTACAATAGAACCTAAATCCAATATGTAACAACAACAAAAATAAAATTTTCTGTCCTGCATGACTGAGCAGAGTTTATTTAGCAGTTTGGAATTGGCCAGAATTTTAGTTTTTAGTACTTATGTAGTGTTGTATAGTATTGTATTGTAGTAATAAACCCTTGAAGATCTGTAGCTATGATTGTAGTAAATGTTATTTCTGCAAGCTTAAAAAAGAGGCTGAATAAAGCTGCATGGCAAACTCTACAGATGACTATTTCCATTTTTCTAATCCATTTTATACCAATAAACTAACTTGTGTTACATCTATCACATACAACCTAACTAAAATACATTTTAAACTACAAGTTATTTAAAAACGTTTGTCATGTAATTTAATATGACAAACTATGAGAGGGTTCAAAGTAGGGTTTGCAAGTAATAATGAACTGATTATTATTTGGTCTTAGAAAAATAGTTATAAACAATACCGAACAACACTAAAATCTATACTGTGATACCACCCAGTGAGGTAACTAAATAAACTGACATTTCTTTGGCAAGAATACGACAACTTTACTGGAAAAGTAGATTGTTGAGCTTTCCTTCACTCTCTCGCCACCATTTAGAGCTCACATTTACACTGATATACCATTTCAAAGGGATCTGTAAGATGTCTGTAGCCAGGCTGTGCTCAACTGTCAGCGGATGGTTCATAAAAACAGTTTCTTGGCTCCTGACTAACAATGACAGCCGCCTGGAGTGAATCTCAATCCCTCAACAGCGCCATAAAAACGGTGTCGAAGGCTGTCAGATCAGCCAAAACATGGAGCAAGTTTCCAAAGATCAAACAGAGGCATGTTCAGCATCACAGTCCCCAACAGATGATGATATATTTTTGTCTATTTAAAAAGCAGAATGTCTCCAGATTAAACTAAATCCAAAAATAATGTAATCATTTCAGGCTCAAACTTTCTTTCCACTGTTAAAGCGGATAAACATAAGACTAAGAAAGGTCAAGGCCATAAGTTATATAAATATTAGCACCACATCACCTCTGTCAGAATGGTGTTGAAACTCCCAGTGTGTCTTAGTGACACCCAGGAAACACCTGTCATTACACTCTGCTCCTCGTCTTCTTAGAATTTCAAGGGTTCAGAAATGGCAAAGGGCACTGATTTCTAACACCAGATTTACATGGTGTGCATGCTAAACACACAAAAAACAGTGTTGCTACAAAACCCATCATGGGGCTTCATGCATCATGATTTATTTCAGGGAAATTAGGCCTTCTGGCTTAATCCCAGTTTTATCCCTTTATGATTTACTGGTTGATTTTCTGCCCTGAAAATAATCAACAAGATTATCTGCATCTGCACTCACCCAGAGTTCCAGCTTTTACATTACATTGCGATGCAACCCAATACAAAATTTAGTATATAATGCTCTAAACAGTTTCTAGAGTTTTTCTTTTGTTTTGTTTTTTTGACCGGCTATACAGATAATGACAGAAAAAGCATTAGAACAGAAAACTGAAAAATACAAAACAAAACTAAATGTTAGAATTCCAGTTTGTGTGGGTTGTTTTTGTGTTTTTTTCTTCTTTCCACCACCAGATGGGGCCCTGTTCTCGTTGGGCCTCCTTGCACACCTGCTCCTTGTTGGGTCTTTACCAGAGGAGTATTTGAGCAGGAGGCTTTCACTACCTTGACGCCAGAGTGTTTGCCAGTATGGGGTACTCTAGCCAAACTGAGATTAGCAGAGTCTAACCTTAGCCTTGTCTCTCTGAGTCTAAACTTGCTTTGTCTTTGTTCTTCAGCAGGAAGCCTTCCTTTATCACTGGATAAGCCTGGACCTACTACCCCCCTGGAAGGAGTAACTGAGTCACACTGAGCAAGGGGAGACCTCCACATGATCTGTTAAAGTCCACTTCTTGAAAACCAAGTGACAGACCGCTCCTTTACTCCTTTGGGTCCAAAGTTAGTCTGGCTGTCCGCTCTCCAATGAGTTCATTCTTCTCTGGATTTAACCCCACAAACTCTGAACTGATCATTGTGATCATCCCTTCAGGGTTTCCGGTTCCAGTTCACCAGTCCGCTGAGGTCCAACAGTATTAGCCGCTGAATATCTCTCTCTATCTGTGTTTTTGCTAACCCTCAATAAGCCAGTTAACTTTTACCCTTGGTCTCTGAGTGGTTCACTGCATGTGGGTCAGATCTTTAAAGCCCATTATGACATTAAATCGATGATATTTATCAAATGGGAATAACTTCAAAAACAAGAAATATGTTATTTGTTTGAGTGTGTCTTTTAACATTTTTGGCTTGGTCTACTGAGATTACAAACTAGTGGAGTTAAAGTAATTGCACTAACACAAATTGCAAGTTTGTGTGATGGGTGTGATGTTAACCTGCCTAAATCTGTGATTAGAACAATAGTCAAAAATAAGCCCAACAAAATCTTCACAGCTCACTACGACAATAGTGTAAATATTTTGGAGGGGCCTCATGCAACTCCAGACTTAAATTGAGACAACTGGATGGCTGTAGGCTCCTCCAGTGGGGCTGAGTTAAAATTATTCCCCACAGGAGAGTTGGCTAAAATTCCAAATTTCCTTCAGGTATTAGGATCCCAGGGCAATTAGATTCCCACAGATGGCTAGTTTGGTTTGAGAAGTTTTTTTTTTTTTTTTCATTAAACAATAAAAATAATAATTTCTCAGATTTTCTGCATTTAGTATT